GCCGCCCGGAAGGAGGGGATTGGACGCCCCGCCCCGGGGCGCGGGTTCGGTGGCGCGGAGGGGGGTGGGGACCGCGGCGGCCTGCGCGTCTCCGAATCCGGTTTTGTCCACGCACTCCGCGGCCCGGGAAGGTCGCGTGCCCTCGGAGCTGGGGTCCCGTCTTCCACCGGCGGGGACGGTAACGGGCTGTGGTCGTAGAGTTGTGCAACCGCGATGAGGTAACGTGGCGGCCGGGGGCGGCGCTCCGAGCAGGAATTCCCTCGGTCGTCCCGGCTCTTCCGGCTTCCTCCCCCCCCCCTCCCCGCCCCGGCCCGGGGTCCTGGCGACCCGCCCTTGGTCGCGGTCCACTCCCACTCTCTCAACTCTCAACCCGATCTCTAGTTCCAGCACCAACAACATATATCCCCTCCAGTGACGGTGTCTTCTTGCATTTTTTTTGTCCATTTAACAATAGCTAGGCCGGCGTGGCTCACGTGCTGTGTGGCCAGCTTGCAGTGCGTTCTGCTCTCACTGTCTTCCTATAAGCCTCATCTGTCCGGCTCTTCACCCAGAACCCTGTGTGTGGGTCCCAGACTGTTTTGATAGCAGAAAAAGTTCCCAGGCTCCTGTTTTCCTAACCACTAATGCTGGAGGGATTAGATCACACCCAGCGGTTCTTAGAGGTACTTGTGTAAATCGCTAAATAATGAGGTATATAGACACATAAGGTGGAATTGCTATTAGCATCTGACTTGCTCCTGCTGCCAGCCTAGCCAGTGCTGGTGTGCACATTCGGAGAGTCCTGGAGTCCCAGCTCTCCAGGCAGCTCTCATAGTCTTGTTTTCCTGGTTGGGAGAACTTTGGTGAGAAAGCAAGCTATCTTTCTTAATTCTTCTGGGTAGCTGAGCCCAACCCTGCCCTTACCCCCACCGTAAACCCTGCAGTACTCGCGTCTGTAGCCCGGCCACCCCTCCCCCCACTGACTTAAACAAATCTAGTTACATTCTGAGAAGATACTTTATGGCCCCCCTGTCTCAGTCCTACCCAGGTCATTTAGGGGTCTGCAGCAAGAGTGGAAATAATGGCTTTCCTCGGGCATCTAGCAAGGTATTTCTCTCTTCCAAGTAACTCTGTGATGGGGATCTTAACACCCCCGTTTTTTAAATGTCAGTATTGAGGTTTGAACTTGGGGCCTGGGCACTGTCCCTTAGTTGTTTTTTTTTACTCAAGCCTGGCACTCTTCTACTTGAGCCATAGCTGTACTTCTGGCTTTTTGGTGATTAATAGGAAATATAAAGAGTCTTCATGGACTTTCCTCCCAAGGTTGGCTTCTAACTGCTATCCTCAGATCTCAGCCTCCTGAGTAGCTAGGATTGCAGGCACGAGCCACAGTAACTTGCCCATGACAGATAGAAAGGACCAGGTCAGGTTTGTTGTCTTCACTTTAGTTCAAGCATGTCTTGGTGAATATTGACCTGGCCATTTAAATTATTTGTAAGTATTAGCTATTGCACTGGGTCTTACAACATCTGCTCTCTAGTTTTGAAGGAAGACAAAAGCAAAATGTGTTCTTTTGTTTGAAATAAGCTGCTGAAGATAGTGCTCTTGCCCCTCATTTTGTTTTGGTTGTTTGGGTTTTGTTTTTTTCTAATGTGAGAGTTCAGCAATACTGGGAACATCACTGCATATTTGGAGTCTACACACTTTCCAGCCGTGGTCATAGGATGTGTGCCATTTGTCAGAATCCTTCTCAAAGCACAGTGTCTGTAGCTGGGTGCAGCAGTATGATTTGACGGGTTCACATTAAAGGGAAGCTCTCACCTCCTTTACTGTGTGGGCTCTGCATCATGGTAATTGACAGGAGTTTCTTGAGGGGGGGCTAAGGGGTGGCGGCATAGACCCCTACTGATGCAAAACCCTAAGATAAAGACAGTTTCTTAAGAACTGCAGTCTTCCCTCTCTGTACTGTGAGAAATTTGGTATGCAGATCATGCTATCCTTGATTTTGTCTATATTTCTATGCCATTTTAAAATTATGTATCATTAGCTTTTGACATACTCTCTTTTCTTTCTTTCTCTTATTTATTTATTGGTGCCTATCTTTGGGCTTGAATTCAGGGCCTGGGTTCTGTCCCTGAGCTTTTGTGCTCAAGGGCAGCACCCTACCTACCACTTGAGCTTTTTTGATAGTTAATTGAAGAAGAGAATTAACAGTTGTTTTAGATGTAAGCAGTAGAATACCCGTGAAATGCTTGCTGGGAAGACAGAGAACTAGTCTGGCCAAAGAGCAATAGCAAGGGCAAGAGCAAGGATTGATGTGGAGAGTTCAGTGGAGGGGAGGGTTAGAAAGTGAATTGTAAAGGAGAGTGACCCAGGGGAATAGGCAGAAGCGGTAAGACTGGGGAACTGCAATTAGGTTGGTAGAACTAGAATAAAAGTGTTTTTGGGGGGGCTGGGTGCCAGTAGCTCACGCCTGTAATCCTAGCTACTAAGGAGGCTAAGAGCTGAGGATCATGCAGTTCAAAGTCAGCCAGGGCAGGAAAAGCTCTGAAACTCTTTTATCTCCAATTAACCACCTGAAAACTCAAAGTGGCGCTGTGGTTCAAGTGGTAGAGCATTTGCCTTGAGGTGAAGATCTCAGGGACAGAACCCAGACCCAGAGTTCAAGTCCCACAACCGACAAAAAAAAAAAAAGGAGTTTTTTGGAACCAGGCAGGAGGTGCTGCAGGGTCACGTGCGCAGAACGAGGGCCTGTGGGTATCTTCCCTTCTCAGGTCTTTGGGGACAGGCACTGTGGTAGCCAGTACACAGTATTGGTTTGGTAAATTTTAATCCATTTTTCATCCATAAGACTTACTAGGCAAGCTCCTTTTAAAACAAAACAGCACAAGTTTAATTGGGAGGACGGCATTTCATGAGCACCAGTGATGGTCACTGGGAAGTGCCGGGAGGCTGCGCCCGCCCGGCTGCCCACAGCACTGGCAGTACAGCCAGGTCCTTCTCTGCATACTCTGTTTGTCTGCTTCATTCTCTTTGCCTCCCTGGCTATCTCTGTTTTTGGTTCCTTGTTTTGGTTCCCTCATGGCCCATATGGCTGCCCCAGCTCCTGAATCTGTGATCTTTCCTCTCCTGGATGAAATATTGAGGAAGGAATTAGCTCATGGTTTTGAGCAAGGCCTGGAGGACTAGGTTAGCTATGCTGAACTGCCCTTGGGAGGTGGCTTTCCTAGTGGTATCCTGGCCAGGGTGACAGTGGGGAGGCTCTTCGCTCAGGTCATGTCTTCCTAACTCCTACAGCTGTGGCTGCAGCATGGCAGGGCAAGCACCCTAACAGTTAGCTCCAGACCAGTCTGCTGTTTATTGGGTGCTTTTTGTTAAGCACTGCTGGAGATCCATGGGCGAACACCTCCCACTGTAAATGCAAAATACCTTACAGTCTGATCTAATGTCTATATAGGGCAATATCTGAGTTATAAGTCAAGCAGTTCTGTCTTGAAGCCAGATTCCATTTGACTGTACATTTTGTCATGGAGTCCAAATGATCCTGCTCTAGAAGAAATGACATTCTCATCTTTGTATTCGCCTTCTGCTTATTTATTTTGCTCTGTATGTAGTCGATTTGATGTGCCTGGAGGCCTTTAAGTAGCTTCACTATGCCTGAGAAGACAGCCCTTTGGCTTTGATCTTGTGAGGCAAGCACTCATTTGTTCCTTCTTTCAGCCTCTTATTTTTCCTTTTAACGTTTCTTCAGCATCTTCTTGTCCTGGGCCACTGGAATGACGTAAGATACTGCTCTGAGGGAACCTTCCCCCTAGTAAAACAAATAGGCATGGGAAGAGCAGTGTCTCAGGCTGGAAGCCATGTGGGATAGAGGCTGCTGGAAAGGAGAGTGCCAGTTGTCAGGACTCAAGATCGTTGAGGTCCTTACCTTGTATTGTACTTTCTCTTAGAAGATAGACATCAAAGAAGAGGGACAGTTGAGAATCTTAAAGATGGAAGTTAATCACATTTGCATTTAGAAAGATGTGGAAAATAGGTAGAAAGTAGAGATTGGTGTCAGGGAACCCCTTTAGAGATTTATGAATAAGACAACAGGAGAAGAGAGCATAAAGTAGGGGAGAGAGGGTAAGGAGGACAGGTGGCAGTGTACATAGATAACCTCCATTTGAAATGCCAAAGGAGTTATTTAATCCAGACTCTTGTCATTATTGACAAAGAAGACAGTCTCTAACTGCTTTTTCATATCGCTTGTTAAAAAATGACACAGTACTTTCTGGAGTTCACAAGTGAGTTGGCGCTGTTTTTGATTTACTCTTCCTAGTTTCCTTTCTGCATTCCTTTGTCCTCCTCTCGGGCCTTTTACAAGCTTGTGTTTTGAGTGACTTGGGGTTGGTTACGTGGTGCTTCCTGTGACTGGTGGCTTTGTTAGTGAATATAAATCAGCTTAGTCATGGATTAACATTGCTCTGCCTTCCCACTCAGCTTGAAAGATGATGACAGTGGGGACCACGATCAGAATGAAGAAAACAGCACACAGAAAGATGGTGAGAAGGAAAAGATGGAACGAGACAAGAGTCAGAGCAGCAGTAAGAGGAAGGTATGTTTGGCACTGCGCAGGTGTAATTGCTTTTGGACTTGAGACTTGGTTATCTTGTAGAGTCTGTTTATATGGAAGATATTAGATTAGTTGTAGGGCATCCTGTTAGAACTGCAAGAAAAAGTGGGGTTTAGGGGATTGTGGAGAAAGGGGTAAGGTAAGAGAGTGTAGTCAGGAGGTAGGAACAACCAAAATATGATATATACACATTTGGAAATATCACAGTGAAATCATGATACTTTTGTTGTTGTTGTTGGCTATGGGGCTTGAACTCAGTGCCTAGCTACTGTCCCTGAGCTCTTTTGTTCAAGGCTGGCACTGTACCACTTTGAGCCAATTGGTGTTTCTTTTTGTTGTTGTTGTTGTTGTTTTTGGTAGTTAATTGGGGATAAGAGTCTCACAAACTGTATAGCCTGGGCTGGCTTTGTACCACAATCCTATCCCAGCTTCCTGAGTAGCTAGGATTACAGGTGTGAGCCACCAGTGCCTAGCAACCATTATACCTTTAAAAGACTGGGATAACTTGAGTTCATGTTGGAACTTAGAACTTTCCTTTGGTCACAGGCCATGCCTTGCATTCTTCTCCCCTGAGGTGAAGAGGTAAATGCTGGTGCTCACCTAGGCTGGGAGCGGTTTCAAAAATGGCTGCTCAGTATTTCAAATGTGCACATCACTATTTTATACTGTAGTCAGTAGTAACTTGAAAGTGACTTGGAACAGAGTGAATTCAGAGAATGAGATACATGGCTCAATTTCTCCTTGATCCTTACCTTTAAAAACAGCAAAAATGCCCATAGCTGATATTCCTTTACTACTAACTTGTGCTGAGCACTGCCAAAGAACTTTTTTTTGGGGGTCCGGTTGTGGGGCCTGAACTCTGGGCCTGGGCGCTGTCCCTCAGCTCTTCAGCTCAAGGCCAGCGCTCTACCACTTGAGCCACAGCGCCACTTCCGGCTTTTTTCTTTTTGCTGAGGAATCGAACCCAGGGCCTCAGGCATGTAAGACAAGCGCTCTACTACTGAGCCACCTTCCCAGCCCCAGTGCCAAAGAACTTTATAACTATGAATCCACTTGATTCCCTTAGTAGCCCTTTGAGGTGATTCTTTTTCCTTTCTCCACTTTTCAGGAAGGAAGCTGTAGTACAACCAGGTTGAGTGTCCTACCACTTTTTTTTTTTTTGGTGCCAGTGCTGGGGCTTGAACTCAGGTCCTGAGCACAGTCCTTATGTTGGTTTTTACTATGCTAGCACTATGCCACTTGAGCCACAGTGACTCTTCCAGCTTTTTTGGAGTAGTTTATTGGAGATAAGAGTCTTATGGACTCTTCTTTTGTCTGGGCTGACTTTGAACTGCAGTCTTCAAATCTCAGCTTTCTCAGTACCTAGGATTTCAAGTGTGAGCCACCAGTACCCGGTACATCCTACCACCACCACCACCCCTTTTTTTTTTTTTTTTGCCAGACCTTGAACTCAGGGCCTGGGCACTGTCTCTAAGCTTTTTTTTTGCTCAAGGGTAGCACTCTACCACTTGAGCCATAGCACCACTTCTGGCTTTTCTATGTATGTGGTACTGAGGAATTAAACCCGGGGCTTCATGCATGCTAGGCAAGTACTTTACCACTAAGCCACATTCCCAGCTCCATCCTACCACTCTTTTTTTTGGGGGGTGGGAGGGGGGGTGGTCCAGTCGTGGGGCCTGAACTCTGGGCCTGGGCGTTATCCCTCAGCTCTTCAGCTCAATGCTAGTGCTCTACCATTTGAGCCACAGCACCACTTCCAGCTTTTTTTCTTTTTTTGCTTATGTGGTGCTGAGGAATCGAACCCAGGGCCTCAGGCATGCAAGGCAAGCGCTCTACCACTGAGCTACCTTCCCAGCCCCCCTACCACTCTTAAGTGGTGAGAGTGTTATAGAGTGGCAGGGATTGGGTAGGGCAAATGGTAAGGAAAGACACAAACACAAATCCCTATTATTAGCTATGTGCTGGTGGTCAATGCCTGCAATCTTAGCTGTTCAAGAGGACAGAAAAGCCCACCAGACTAAAATAGCCAGCAACAAGTAGGGCTGGGGTGTGACTCAAGTAGAAGAGTATTAGCCTAGCAAGCAGTGCAAGGCCTTAAGTTCAAACCCTAGAACCAAAAAAAAAAAAGAGTGCCTTTTATATGCGGTAGAAAGCTACTAAAGCCATAATAACACAATGTTACAGGGCTTAGAGTCAACTAAGGAAACTTATTTGACCAGAATCTTGTCATTGAGATTGCATTATTTTTTGGTTGTGGTGTGGCAAGAAGTAACATTGTAAAATTGTTCTCAGTCTCAGAGCATATGGCACAAGCCCAGGACTAAGCACCTTCTTTAACCTCCCAGGCTGTTGTCCCTGGACCGGCAGAGCATCCCCTGCAGTACAACTACACTTTCTGGTACTCCAGGAGGACTCCAGGCCGTCCCACCAGCTCCCAGAGTTATGAGCAGAATATCAAGCAGATCGGCACCTTCGCCTCAGTGAGTACTTGGAGGTTACAGTCATGTGTTGGTCTGCCTTCCTAGGATGCTGTCTAATGTTTTGCTTTCCTTACTCAGCTAATCTGAGTCTCACTATCAGATGTTTCTCATAGACATCCATAGTTAACATGTAGTTACGAGAATGCTGGCTTTGATCAGTAAAAAGGGTTACTTTGGGGATGTCTGTTGCTTTTTTTTTTTTTTTAATAATGTATGGTGTCTGTCTTTATAAGGTTGGAAAGCAAAAGTGGAGAGTAAAGTTTCTTTTGTATTTGAGAAAATCCCATTAGAACCAGGCGTTGGTGACTCATGTCTATATCCTAGCTACTCAGGAGGTCAAGACCTGAGGATCATGGTTCAAAGCCAGCCTGGACAGGAAAGTCCATGAGCCTTTTTTTGGGGGAGGGGGGGGGCGTCGGTCATGGGGCTTGAACTTTGGGCCTAGGCATTGTCTCTGAGCTCTTCAGCTCAAGGCTGAAGAGTGCTCTACCACTTGAGCCACGGCGTCACTTCTTCCATGAGCCTTTTAACTCCAGTTAACCAACAAAAGGCTAGAAGTGGAGGTGTAGCTCAAGTGGCAGAGCACCAGCCTTGAGTGGAAAATCTAAGAGATAGTACCTAGGGCCTGAGTTCAAGTCCCAGTATTGGCACCAAAAAAAGAGGAAAAATTCCCATTAGGATTTTGGTTATGATAAGGATTTTGCATCAAGTAGCTTCTTTTTCCTGTGCTCAGAAAGAATAATGAAGTATCCAGCAGTTGTTTTTATGAGTGTTGTCAGTATAGACTGACCAGGATTTGTCTCATCTCTGCTTCAGGTGACAAGATTTGTGAACTTGGAGACTACAAACACCACCAGTCATGTTTGACAAAGTCTACCATGCACCTCCTGTGTGGGTCTATGCATGGGTCTCTCTCTACAGAGTTAAGCACATATTTGTTGGCTTTTAAACTATTTGAGGTATTTCTATAGTTGACAATAACATTATAATAAGCAAGAGGAAAGACACAGTAAATAATAGGCATTTTATTTAGGTAATTTCTTCCAGTCACTAGAAGAATAGACCTATGAGGTCATTGCTATTATCCACATCATACAAATTAGTAAAATGAGATCTGTGTTGAGTATCCAGTACAGGGTCTCAAATGAGTCATAATTCACTTAAGTCTGGGAGCCAGTATTGAAACTTATGCCAGGTAGACTGGAAATCACATAGTGCACTAAAAGCATGGCAAAGGCTACTGTTTTAAAATGTTGCTTACTACACAAACTATATTTATTTTTCCATTTGTTACCAATCACATATACATATATTAACTGGTAATAAGATTGTCTCCTTAATGTGAGATAATATTGCTGGGTTGAGATCATAAAATTTCAGGCCAGTGCCAATTGCTGCATTATCACTGGAAAATTTAGGCTTTTCTGAAATATCACAAATAGCCTGGTGCATATTTTAGTCAAATGTTTGTTGAAGCTGGGTACCAGTGCCTTATGCCTATAATCCTAGGGGCTCAGATATCCTAGGATATCTGAGAATAACAGTTTGAAGCCAGCCCAGGCAGGAAAGTCTTGAAGCTCTTCTCTCTAAGTAACCACCAAAAGACCAGAAGTGAAGCTGTAGTTAGAAAGGTAGAGTGCCAGCCTTGAACAAAAGTGTTCAAGGAAAGCTAGGTGCTGATTGCTCACACCTGTAATCCTAGCTACTCAGGAGGCTGAGATCTGAGGATCACGGTTCAAAACCAGGCGGGCAGGAAAGGCTGTGAGGCTGAGACTTTCATCTCCAATAAACCACTCAGAAAACCCGAAGTGGTGCTGTGGCTCAAGTGGTCGAGTTCTAGCCTTGAGCTGAAGAGTTGAGGGACAGTGCCCAGGCCCAGAGTTCAAACCCCATGACCAACCAAAAAAAAAAATGCTCAAGTTCCCAAGTCCTGAGTTCAAACCTTAGGACCAGAACAACAACAACAACAACAAAAATGTGAAGAAACTCAAGACCTTATTAAAAAACATTAAGACAGAGAACCTGTCCTTGGGAGTATAATTTCCAATAGTAGGTGTACACCAAGTAGAACTTCAGAAATGTGCCTGGAGTGGGGTTCCGAGAAAAGAAGGGCTCGTTCCACCTTGAGGAAACCTGCCTGGAAGCAGATGGGTTTAAGATTGACCATAAAGGATTTAAAGAGCTTATATAAAAGCAATACTTGACAGAGGAAAGAGTAAAATGAAACTTTTGAGATATCTATGCACTTCTAAAATTCCTGAATCTATTGCAGTGCATTTTTTCTTTTTTTTTTTTTTTTTCTTTTTTGTCGGTCATGGGGCCTGAACTCTGGGCCTGTGCGCTGTCCCTCAGCTCTTCAGCTCAAGGCTAAGCGCTCTACCACTTGAGCCATAGCACCACTTCCAGATTTTTCTGCTTATGTGGTGCTGAGGAATCGAACCCAGAGCCTCATGTATGCAATGCAAGCACTCTACCACTGAGCCGCCTTCCCAGCCTATGCAGTGAATTTTTTATTGCCTGCTCTGTGCTAATGTTAGCCAGCACAGACAAATGTCAGCAATTAGGTCATGAACAACTGGTTAAACACTTGGAGGAACAGAGAAGGAACTGTGCTGGGGAAACAGGTTTCAGTCAGATTTCTGTTAAATTGCTTTGCAGTAATTAGGAATATTTCTAGCATTTCTTTCCATCTTGTACTAAATGCATGTATGAATTTACCCCAAAGTGTGCAAGGAGGGTTTGTGTCATGTTTCTCCTATAGCATATATGGTGAGTGGCATAAATGTCATCAACACCCGGTGGTTAATGTGCTGTCAGTACTCTGGGAGTTGAAAATTGGTAATTCAAGATACTAGGAAATGGCTCACAGAGAAGTAACAACATTGTGAAACATTTTATCAAGTCCAAAACAATATTTTTCAGTTTTTTGCTGACACTGGGCCTTGAACTCAGGGCTGGCTCTCTATCACTTCCTGATCTCAGCCTCCTGAGTAGCTAAGATTAGATTAGAGGCATGAGCCACAGAGTGCCCAGGCTCTTCCCAGTGGTTCTCATTTCTAATAGTGAGCAGCATTAAAAGTTCTTCCGGTCGAGGCCATTGAGAAGGCAGCACTTTGAAATGGAAAGAGCCTTGGACTTTGCATCCTGGGTCCGACCTCTTCTGATGCGTGGCTGCTGGGGCACACAGGAAGACATTTTCTCAGCTCTGCAGTGAGGAAGATGATGGAATGGATGCGTTCTTGAGGTCATTTCTCCATCTCATATTCTAAGTTTCTGAACTTTATTTTTTTGGTTTAGTTGGACTTTTGAAAAAACATCTTTCAAAGTTAATGTTTCTTAAACTGTTTACTTCATTCATATTGTGCTTGAGGTATACATTTGTCAACTTTGCATAATTTAAAGGGAAAGGAGAAGGGTGAATTAATTTTCAAGTACATTGCAGCTATGTGAAATGTATTTTAAAAAGCTGTTAATGGATGGGCTGGGAATATGGCATAGTGGTAGAGTGCTTGCCTAGCATTCATGAAGCCCTGGGTTCGATTCCTCAGTACCACATAAACAGTAAAAGCCAGAAGTGCTTTTGTGGTTCAAGTGGCAGAGTGCTGGCCTCATGAGCAGAAGCACTCAGACAGTGCCTAGCCCCTGAGTTCAAGCCCCAGGATTGGCAAAAAAAAAAAAAAGAAAAGAAAAGAAACAATAGAGGCTATTCTGATTAAAATGTTATACATACATATCTGAAATACCATGGTGGAACAATTTGTCCACACTAAAAATGAATGATAAGAAAGTAAAATGGGCTCTGTGGCAAGAGTAGGTACCAGTGGGAAGGAGAAGGCTAATGAGGAAGTAAATGGGAAAGAATATGATCACAGAGGTTTATTTACATGTATGAAAATGGAACAGTAAAACCTGTTGAAACTTCTAAACAGCAGTTGTATGCTTGTGTGGAAATGTAGCAATGACACTCTACCCCCTCTTACAACTGATATATGGGAATAGAAAAATTTAGAATTGGAGGAGACAAAGCCTTCCAAAGTGATTTTTGTGGGCTCTCACTGCATATAGCCAGACTGGCCTCCAACTCATGATCTCCCTGCCTCAGTTGCTTGATTGCTAGAAGTAAAGGCAGTCGTGACCATACCTGGTGCTTCAAGTGATTTTTGACTGGGTGGATTGGTGTACATTCTCTCTACTGTACCCTTCAGATTCCTAATTGACAGCCACTGGTTCTGTTGGGTGCATTTTGTTACTCTCTGTTAGAGTAAAGGTTATATTACTGCTCATTATGCACACATGGCCACTTGTGATGCCAGTTGCTACACACAGTTAAGCCCAGTGCCTGAAGCCGAGAGGGCTGCATGGTAGTCCTCATGAAGCGTTATTAGTTTCTGGCTTCTTGTAAACATGTAAGGCATTTCATGTGTTCCTGTTCAAGAAAGGAACTGAAAGAAACAGCCATTTTCATGCATTGGAAGGTCACTTTTCCTCTTGCCACCCAGCTCTAAAAGTGTGACCTGAGTACTATATTTGCCAGAACTCCCCTTCTGCTATACAATTTTGGTGTCTTTCTGTGTGTTGACAAACATTCGTGGCTTCTTTCCATGCTCTTCTGGATTTTCTTCACTGTCCTCCTTCATTGTGCCTCGTCTTCTGTCACTACTGAATAGGTACGCTCACCGGATTGCAGGGGACCATGTCTACTGTCAAGAACTAGCATGATGAATATAAGTTAACACACAAACCTTGTTCTTCTTTTTTAAAGTTTTTCTATGTAGTCTGAACTAGATGATCCACACGTGTGTACTACCTACACAGTGCTAAAAAATGTGTCTAGTTTCCTATAAGATTTGAAGGTGGGCCAAGGAGAACCATACTTTTTTAGCTGAGAACTCCCTAGCTCTGAGACGCTGAATCCTGTTTCACTTTAGTGGCCTTGTTATATAGCTATGCATGTGATGGATTCATTTATACTCAGTAACTAAACGGTCAGATGTATTTCAGTCCAGCTCAGTGCTATAATTGCCAACTAAACAGTCTGATCGAGAATTAACTTGAAGTTGGGTATTGACCAATGGCTCATGCTTGTAGTCCAAGCTACTCAGGAAGTTGAGCTCTGAGGACTACAGTGTGAAGCCATGCTGGGCAGGAAAGTTCATGAAACTGCAATTAACCAGCAAAAAGCTGGAAGTGGAGCAATGGCTCAAAAAGTAGAGTACTAGTCCTGAGTAAAAAAGATCAGGGACAGTAACCAGGCCCTGAGTTCAAGCCATAGGGCCAAGGCCTGTGGCTTGTGGAACTTAAGCCTGGAGATTAAGGTTTCTATCACGGGGAAAAAAAACCTAGCCCACAAACTAGAGTATGGCTCAAGTGTTAGAGCTTTTTTTGTGTGTGTGTGAAAATATTGTACAGGGACTGGGAAGGTGGCTCAGTGGTAGAGCGCTTGCCTTGCATGCCTGAGGCCCTGGGTTTGATTCCTCAGCACCACATAAGCAAAAAGAAAAAAGCCGG